GCCTCCTGCTTCACACCGTGAAGTCCCCTCAGGGAGTCCTGGAGCAAGACGCCTGCGGGAGGCTGCAGCCCCAGAGGGAGTCCTGCATCCCCACGGCCTGACTGGACGTTCTGCAGAAAAGGACCTAGGGGTTACAGTGGACGAGAAGCCGGATATGAGTCAGCAGTGTGCCCTTGTTGGCAAGAAGGCCAATGGCATTTTGGGATGTATAAGTAGGGGCATAGCGAGCAGATCGAGGGACGTGATCGTTCCCCTCTATTCGGCACTGGTGAGGCCTCATCTGGAGTACTGTGTCCAGTTTTGGGCCCCACACTACAAGAAGGACGTGGGAAAATTGGAAAGAGTCCAGCGGAGGGCAACAAAAATGATGAGGGGACTGGAAGACATGACTTATGAGGAGAGGCTGAGGGAACTGGGATTATTTAGTCTGCGGAAGAGAAGAATGAGGGGGGGATTTGATAGCTGCTTTCAACTACCTGAAAGGGGGTTCCAAAGAGGATGGATCTAGACTGTTCTCAATGGTAGCAGATGACAGAACGAGGAGTAATGGTCTCAAGTTGCAGTGGGGGAGGTTTAGATTGGATATTAGGAAAAACTTTTTCACTAAGAGGGTGGTGAAACACTGGAATGCGTTACCTAGGGAGGTGGTAGAATCTCCTTCCTTAGAGGTTTGTAAGGTCAGGCTTGACAAAGCCCTGGCTGGGATGATTTAACTGGGGATTGGTCCTGCTTTGAGCAGGGGTTGGACTAGATGACCTTCTGGGGTCCCTTCCAACCCTGATATTCTATGATTCTATGACTGCAGTGACGCTCGGCCAGCGTGTGAGAGGCCGGGGGCAGTGGGGGTCTGGACACAGTGCAGACAGGCTGTGGTTACCACAGAGAACAGAAAGTTACAGCAAAGTCCAGCTGGGTCAGACCAGAGCCCAGCACACCCAGATCCCTCCCTAAGCCCAGGCCAGGCGCTTCTGGTTCCAGCAGCCCCCACTTAGCAACACCCCCCCCCCCAAGTCCCTCCTCAGCCCTTTGTCCTTTTTCCCAGCAAACATGGTCACCTGGCCTCCTCATCAGCCTTTTGTCCTCCCACTGGTCACAGCCGGCTGGCCTCCTGCGGAGGGGCCAGGCCATGGGTGCCAAATGTCTGGGCAATTGGAGTGGCCCTTGTTTTCAGGGACGGTCCATCGGCCCAGGGCCCAGACCCCAGGCAGCCCAGTGTCTATCACACCTGGATCTCTGGGGCTCTGCAAAGAGCAAACATCCTCACCCCCCTCCTCCCCCACCGAGTTAACCATGCAGGGGAAACTGAGGCATATCACAGTATGCATACAAAACATTACAGGCAAACCCCTCTCCGGCATATCCAATATGCCCATTCTTAGGTCCCCCAGGCCTCGCAGCAGGACACTGGACACCCCCCCTCACCTCAGATGTTTGTCTTTGTTTGCTCTGTGGGGCAGGGATGGTCTCTGCCTCGCAGGAAATTCCCACAAACTAAGGGTCACAGTCACCCTCCCATAGCACAGGCCCTGGGCACCCCCAGGCCTCTCCTGTGGCACAGTCATGCCCCAGGCTTGCCTGCCCCATCCATGGCTTGTTCTCTCTTCCCACATGGGCTCTGGGCTCTCCTGGGCCCCACCCTGAGGCGCTGAGGGCTGAGGACAGATGGGAAGGGAGGTCTCAGGGCTGGTTGGTCTGGATGGCCACAGAGGCTCTGGGGGTGCTGGGCTGGGCTGCAGGGGGTCGAGGGCTAGAATGGGGCAGGGAGGGGCCTGGGGTGAGATGGGAAGGGAGGGTATATGGCTGGTGGGATGGGGCTTTGGCCAGAAAGGGCCGGTAGGGCTAGGTATGGGGCCAGGCCAGGGATGACGTATGGGCCCAGGGCTGGGCCGGGCGGGCATGGGGCTGGGCCAGGGATTATGTATGGGCCCAGGGCTGGGCTGGGCGGGCATGGGGCTGGGCCAGGGATGATGTATGGGCAGATGTATCAGATCGCACAAGATAAACAAGCAGGGAATTTCATCAGCGCCCATCATGGCTTTAATTTGGCTGCCTAATGAGTCAGATCCAGCCGCGCAGATAAAAGTTGTCAGAGCCGCAGCCCTAATGAATTTCTTGCCACTTGTAATCAAGGCAGCTTGTCGGAGGGGGATGATTAATGGGTCCCCAGAGGAGACGCCGTCCCTCCGCTGCCATTCGCACTAATGCAGCCGCCAAGAACTTCGCCGAACCAGGCGCAGAGCAGGCCTGGGGCTTGGGGCAGAGCATGGCCATGTGGGGGTCCACGCTGGGGTGGGGGGACACGAAGGACGGAGGAGGCGGCTTGAAGTGGGGCAGCAGGAGTGGAGGGGAGGGGAGCAGGGACAGGAGTGGGGCGAGGAATGGGTGGGGGCTGTAGTAAGAGGAGGGGAGGGAGAGGTAGGGGCCGGGGGCAGGGCTAGGATGGAGTGGGGGAGGGAGGGAGGGGCAGGAGGGGAAGGGGGAGGGGCAGGGTTAGGATAGAGTGGGGCAGAAGTGGGACAGGAAGGGACGGACAGGGCTAGGAATAAGTTGGAGGGATGTGGAGGGGAGGAGGCAGGAGGGGAGGAACTGGGGCAGGGGTAAGCGTGGGGGGAGAGATGGGGCGGGGTGAGGGCTAGCTGTCGGGGGGCGGGAGAGTCCTGACCTGGGTGTAGGCGCTGCCCCGTTCCAATGCCCCCAAGGCATGGTACTTGGTAGGGGCAGGGGGTGCCCGCCGTTCCCCGCGTGCCGCCTCCCCTCCTTTGTCCCTGCTGGCCATCGCCCAGCCTGTCCGTGGGGCCAGGCAGCCGCAGCTGGGAGCCCAGGCCTGAGGAAGGCTCGCGCCCCTGCGTGCCCGGGCGTGCCCTGTGCTCTGCCCCAGCACTGGGGCACATGGAGGGCAGCCCAGGCTGGGGGCCTGCTCCGACGCAGTTGTTTTCTGCCTCGTCCTGACAGCCCAGTGCGGCCCCCAGGCCCTGCGGCAGGGCAGCCTGTGACCTGCTGGCGTGTGGGGCGGCTGCTCAGCCCAAGCCCTGGGCACGAGGCTGTGAGGCCGCTGGCTGCTCCAGGGGGGCGCGAGCCAGGCCCTGGGGCCCAAGCTGAGCATCGTGCTGAGAGCCGACAGGCCGGGCATGCGTGGCTCTCCTGGACGGGCGTCGGCACCGTGCCCCAGATCTTTGGGGATCCTGACCTGGCCGCCTGGAACGGGAACCACCTGGGATCCACAGCACCACGCTGGCTCCAGCCATCCCTCAGCAGGGCAGCTGCAGAGCCCTGGGGCACTGGGCTTCCCGGGACCAGTACGGCCCGCTTCTCCTCGGGAGCGGTGGGCCACCAGCTCCTGCCAGTTGCGGGGTCCCACCGTTGGCAGACGGGGCCCAGCTCCCCCTGCGGCTGCCTCTCCCCGGTCCACCGAGCTGCTCTGGGCTAACGCTGGCAGTGGCCAGAGGGCTGGTGGCAGCATGAACCCCCAGGGCAGCTCAGTCACCTCCTCAGCGCCCAGACGGGATGGGCCCCAGGCCCTCGGGCGCTGACCTGGGAGGGCCTGGAGGCTAATGGCTGTGAGGGGCTCACATGCTGTGCTGCTGGGTCAGCCCCACATACGTTCCCTCACCCCATCACTGTTCCGTCTCCTTAGCGCCTCGGGTGGCCACGTCTCCCCTACGTGGCCCCTTGTGCCCTCCCTAGCACCCGGGCACAGTGGGCACCGGGCCCTGCCCAGGGAAGGGGCAGGCTGCTGCTGCGGCAGTGTGGTACGTGCTGCAGACACGCCCGGGGCAGGGGGTCTGCACCGACGCTGCCCTCAACGGCTCCCAGTCTCGCAGGCAGAAACAGGGAGGCGCAGCCCAGCCCCGTGGAGCCTCAGTGGGAGTTTACAGTTTGGGTCACGGCTTACGGGCAAGTCTGAAGGCCAAACTCACGGGTCTCGCTGCCCCTCTTGCTCCAGGAGCCCCTCCCCTGGCGTCAGTGTGGTGACACCGGTGCACACGGGCAGCCAGAGGACATGCCGTGGGACCCCAGATCGGCAGGAACAGTGCCGGCTGGGCACTGCCGTGCCAGGGAGCTCTGCAATGGCTGGGCCCATGGCTGGCTCAGCCCGCAGCTGGGCAGCGAGAGTCCCCGTGCTCCGATCGCCAGCACCGGCTGGAGAGCTGCAGTAGCCGACAGGTGACATTCAGGCTAGCAGCGCAGCAGGAGACGGAGCAGTTCCTCCCAGCTCGGCCCAACACACCTGCTTCGTCGCTCTGAGGCCAGCATTTCCTACCCTCCCTGAGCAAATTAAGGCCCAGCTGTGCAGCCCCCACATCCCAAAGTGACCCCGTGGGCCCCCTGCCTGCCACCTAGAGACCTTGGACAGGCTTAAGGCTGGCTAGCAGCTCCCCCATTTGCTCCTGGCTTAGCTCCTATTCCCCTCCTGCCTGGTTGTGCCTTGCTCCCCCAATCCCAGGGCAGCTCCCACCCCAGTACCCAGGGTCCCTTCACTGGCTGCTGAAGGCAGCACCCGGCCCTTCCAGAGTCTACCGGGTGCTTGGGCGGCCTCTGGCCCGTAACGGCCATTCCTTTCGCTCGGCTCTTCCGCCCCCAGGTCAGGGCGTTTCGATCCCCTGGGCTCGCTGGCTCCCTTGGAGGGTGCATCCTGCTGCCCCAGCCACGGCTCCTCGCGCCCGCACTGCAGCCTGGCGCCCGGGCGTTTGCCTGCTCCTGGGCTTTGCACCCTGCCATCAGGGAAGTGCAGTGAAAGCCCGCAGCCCTGCCTGTGCGGGGGGGCTCGTGGCCCCTGAGCGCCTGCTCACTGCACCTTCGCCTGGCGCGCCCTATGCCAGGCCTCCTGGCTGCACCCTTCCATGCCCAGCGCGATGGACAAGCCCAGGCCTCAGCACTTGATGGCCCAGTGCCACTGCTGGCCATGCCCCATGCCCCGAGCCCATTGGGCCAGTGGGGGCAGGGGCTCCCTGGGCTGCAGGTCGGGCTGGAAGTCCAGGGCTGGCACAGAGAGGCTGGGCTGGCAGGAGGAGGGAGCTTTATTGGCTGTTATCTCCTTGGCTGCAGGTCACACACAGGGCAAAGAAACAGTATTTACAGCGCGTCCATATAAATATTTCCAATGTACATTTTATACATGCGCGGCGGAGTCGCCCCAGAAGCCGTGTCCCAAGCCTGGGGGCCCAGCACGTGGTGCAGGCTCGGGCCAGAGAACCCGTCTCCCCTCCCCAGGCTCAGCCAGAGGCCAGCCCCCTGGCAGGGCAGCAGGAGCAGGGTACGGAGCCGTGGGGCAGGCCAGGGAGTCTCCAAGGGAATGGACACAGCCAGGAGGTTCCCAGAGCGGGTCAGTCCCTCTCCTCTCCTGCTTGCAAGCGAGGGGCCGCGGCTGCCCCGGTGGGCAATTCCCTTTGCAATTGCAGGCAGAGGAAGCAGCAGGGCCGCAGCAGAGCTGGGCTCCGTCCTACAGTGGTGCAGCATGCACACAGCCCCCCGAGCCTGGCACCTGTATGGGGGGGGCCAGGGGTACACAGGGACTGCCTCCCTGTATGGGGGGGGCAGGGGTACACAGGGACTGCCTCCCTGTATGGGGGGGGCACAGGAACTGTCTCTGTACCAGGTGGGGGGGGCAGTGGGGGCAGGCAGGAACTCTCTCTCTGTACAGGGTGAGGTGTGCAGGGGTGCACAGGCACTGTCTCTCTGTACCGCGGTGGGGGGGCACACAGGGACTCTCTCTGTGCCAGGTGGAGGGGGGCACACAGGGACTGTGTTTCTGTGCCAGGTGGAGGGGGGCTCACAGGGACTGTCTCTCTGTACCAGGTGGAGGGGGGCAGACAGGGACTGTCGCTCTGTGCCGGGTGGAGGGGGGCTCACAGGGACTGTCTCTCTGTACCAGGTGGAGGGGGGCGCACAGGGACTGTCTCTCTGTACCAGGTGGAGGGGGGCAGACAGGCACTGTGTTTCTGTGCCAGGTGGAGGGGGGCAGACAGGAAATGTCTCTCTGTACCAGGTGGAGGGGGGCAGACAGGCACTGTGTTTCTGTGCCGGGTGGAGGGGGGCACACAGGGACTGTCGCTCTGTAGCAGGTGGAAGGGGGCACACAGGAAATGTCTCTCTGTACCAGGTGGAGGGGGGCTCACAAGCACTGTGTTTCTGTGCCAGGTGGAGGGGGGCACACAGGAAATGTCTCTCTGTGCCAGGTGGAGGGGGGCTCACAGGGACTGTCTCTCTGTGCCAGGTGGAGGGGGGCAGACAGGAAATGTCTCTCTGTACCAGGTGGAGGGGGGCAGACAGGCACTGTGTTTCTGTGCCAGGTGGAGGGGGGCACACAGGGACTGTCTCTCTGTACCAGGTGGAGGGGGGCACACAGGGACTGTCGCTCTGTGCCGGGTGGAGGGGGGCACACAGGGACTGTCTCTCTGTAGCAGGTGGAAGGGGGCACACAGGAAATGTCTCTCTGTACCAGGTGGAGGGGGGCTCACAAGCACTGTGTTTCTGTACCAGGTGGAGGGGGGCACACAGGAAATGTCTCTCTGTACCAGGTGGAGGGGGGCAGACAGGCACTGTGTTTCTGTGCCAGGTGGAGGGGGGAACACAGGAAATGTCTCTCTGTGCCAGGTGGAGGGGGGCAGACAGGAAATGTCTCTCTGTACCAGGTGGAGGGGGGCAGACAGGCACTGTGTTTCTGTACCAGGTGGAGGGGGGCACACAGGAAATGTCTCTCTGTAGCAGGTGGGAGGCAAGGAGGGTGCACAGGAACTGCCTCCCCATGCGGGGGTGGGTGCAAGGCAGGGGTGCCCCTTCTTCTGCGAGGGCACCTTTGCATGTGGAGCTAGTCAGCTGGTGTCGTCGGCCACAGGGTGCACCATGCCAGCCCCAGTGTGGTTTTGCTCCTGTGAGATCCCCGGCAAGGCAGGGAGACCGGGTCCCCTCATCATCAGCAGCATCTGGTGGGTCCGGGAGCCCCGCACCGTCTTGGGGCTCCGAGTGGGAGGCCGGCCCAGCAGGGTGGCTAGAGGACGCTGGGGCTGGGGCCCAGCTCAGCTGGGGACGCCGAGCAGGAGTTGTTGGCGTTGCGGGGGGGCAGGCTGGGGGTCAGTGTGCTCACGGAGCTGTCGCTAGGGCATCCATGCTGCAGGAGGATGTCGATGCACTCCTGGCTGCCAGCTCGCCGGGCGTAGGCCAGGGGCGTCAGGCCACGGGCGTCCCGGCTCTTCACGTCCACCCCATACTGCACAGGGAGAGAACATACCAGGGGCAGCCAGGTCAGTGCCAGGGAGCACCGGGTGGCTGCCAGCGGGACAGCCATGCAATGCCAGTGGGGGCAGGCCAGGAAGGGGGGCCCCACCTGGGGTTTCCGGAAATGGTGGGAGTTGTGGGACTTGGAAAGGGGCTGGTGCAGGAGATCAACAATGGGAGAAGGCAGAAAGGGGGAGCTGGGGGGTCAGTGAGGGGCTGGGGGACAGGAGCCAGGAACCGGGGTCAGCGAGGTGTGGGGGGGAGGAGCCGGGGGACCAGGGTCAGTGAGGGGCTGGGTGTGAGGAGCCGGGGGACCGGGGTCAGCGAGGGGCAGGGGGACAGGAGCCGGGGGACCGGGCTCAGTGAGGGTTGGGGGACAGGAGCTGGGAACCAGGCTCAGCGAGGGGCGGGGGTCAGGAATCAGGGGACTGGGGCTCAGCGAGGGGCGGGGGTCAGGAGCTGAGGAACTGGGGATTAGTGATGGGTGGGAGGGTCAGGAGCTGGGAACTGGGCTCAGTGAGGGACGGGGGACAGGAGTCGGGAACCGGGCTCAGCGAGGGACAGGGGACAGGAGTCGGGAACCGGGCTCAGCGAGGGGCGGGGGTCAGGATAGGGGACGGTCAGCGAGGGCGGGGGTCAGGGCTGAGGAACTGGGGATTAGTGAGGGGTGGGAGGGTCAGGAGCTGGGAACCAGGCTCAGCGAGGGGCGGGGGTCAGGAGTCAGGGGACTGGGGCTCAGCGAGGGGCGGGGGTCAGGAGTCAGGGGACCGGGGCTCAGCGAGGGGCGGGGGTCAGGAGCTGAGGAACTGGGGATTAGTGAGGGGTGGGAGGGTCAGGAGCTGGGAACCAGGCTCAGCGAGGGGTGGGGGTCAGGAGTCAGGGGACCGGGGCTCAGCGAGGGGCGGGGGTCAGGAGTCAGGGGACCGGGGCTCAGCGAGGGGCGGGGGTCAGGAGTCGGGGGACCAGGGTCAGCGAAGGGTTTCTCCTCACCCATATGAGCAGCTGCGTGAAGACCACGTTGGCCATGGCGCTGGAGAGGTGCAGCGCCGTGCGCCCATCCCCGTCCCCGTAGGTCTCGTTCACCTCCTCCTTGGTGCCATGGGCCAGCAGCGTCACCACCAGGCGCACGTCGTCCTCCACCACGGCCCGCAGCAGCTGCTGCCCCAGGGGCACGTCCGAGTGCGGCAGGGCAGCCAGGAACAGCTTCTGCTCATACTTGGCCCGGATCCAGCGCTCCTTCTCCTCCCTGCAGGGAGGGACCCCACACCGGGGGCACCAGTGACACGGGCTACCACATGGCAGGGGCGGCTTGTGCCCCACACCACCCTGGCACTCGTGCCCCGAATGCACCTCCAGCACTCGTGCTGCATGCGAGTGCACCCCTCCTGGCACGCGTGCCCCGTACCCATCCCATGGCACTTGTGCCCCTTACTGCGCAGCACCCCTCGTGCCCCACGTGCAGACCTCTGTCCCTCCTGCCCTTCACCCCCCGCGCTTGTGCACCATGTGCAACCCCCTGCTCTTCACATACACTCCCCAGAACTCGTGCCCCACGTGAACCTTCCTGGCTCTCGTGCCCCGTGTCCCCCCCGCCCTGGCACTCATGCCCTGTGCACCCTCCTCCTAGCTCTCGCGCCCCCAGCTCTCGCGCCCCGTGCCCCCCCCGCCCTGGCACTCATGCCCTCTGCACCCTCCTCCTAGCTCTTGTGCCCTGTGTCCCCCCACCCTGGCACTCATGCCCTCTGCACCCTCCTCCTAGCTCTCGTGCCCCGTGTCCCCCCGCTCGGCCCTCATGCCCTCTGCACCCTCCTCCTAGCTCTCGCGCCCCCAGCTCTCGTGCCCCGTGTCCCCCCCGCCCTGGCACTCATGCCCTCTGCACCCTCCTCCTAGCTCTCGCGCCCCCAGCTCTCGTGCCCCGTGCCCCCCCCGCCCTGGCACTCATGCCCTCTGCACCCTCCTCCTAGCTCTCGCGCCCCCAGCTTTCGTGCCCCGTGTCCCCCCTGCCCTGGCACTCATGCCCTGTCTCTGTACATGCACCCTGCTGTTCTCACGCCCCGCCTGCCGGTGCAGCCCCCGGCCCGTCTCCACGGCGCGCTGGGCCTCGGCCAGCGGCAGGGAAAGGTTAGCTACTGCGCGCAGCTGCCCAGGGCCACAGGGGGCGGCGTTATCACGCCTGCCGTCGCGCCTGGCGCAGACAAAGGCTGAGCCGCCGGCTGGGCCCGCCGGGGCTGCCGGGCCCGGCCGATCGATGCGCGCCGCACGCCCCGCTATCTGCTCCCATTCTATCCATCTGCATCTGGCAGGCGGCAATCAATACCCCACGCGGAGCATGCTCACTGCCGCTGCCCCCTGACCCGCGCCAGCCGCTGATAAGGCGCAGAATGGGCTCTTGCCGGGGTGGCGGATGAGTGACAGGAGAGACGCTCCGACAGGGACAGACAAGGCCTGAAAGGGACGCACCCCTGAGACCCACAGGCAGGCGCCGGCAAGCTGTCGCCATTAACCCCTTCCGCTCCGCAGCCAGCCGGCACGGGGCAGCCACAGCACCTGCCAGCCGGACTCACCTGCCCCAAGGGGGACACCCACGCCCTGGGGCCAACAGGGCTTCCCAGCTGCAGACCCCCGGGGCTGCCTCCCACAGCCCCCCTCTGCTCACGGCCCACCCCTGACCCGGGGCTCCTCACTGCAGCCCCTCACCTGGTGTTCTCGGGGCCCGGCTTCTGGTAGCCCTCCACTGCCCCTTCCCAGACCGCGTTGGCCAGCGCGTTGCCAATGGCTGTCATGACCATGATGAGCTCGCCAGGCCAGTCGTCCAGGTCCAAGGAGCGCACCCGGGACAGGTGGGTGCCCAGGTTACGGTGGATCCCGGAGCACTCGATGCACATGAGGGAGCCCAGGTTCAGACTCGCCCAGTCAGGGTCTGGAGGGTGGAAGGAGAGCGCGGGGAGGGGTGGCGGGTTAGCACATACCCCAGGGACACACAAGCCCATCCTCCACCCACGGGGGCACCAGCCCTACCAAAACCCACATGTCCCCTCCCAAACCTGCAGAGTCACCAGCCCCACAGGGATCCAGGGACCTACATTTTTTGCTTCCCTTGGGCAGTAAGATCCCATGGGAAAGTGAGGCCACTGGGGCAGAGTGGGAGGGCCCTGTGGGGCTCAGACCCCCTTTCCCTTGGGTGGAGTGCGTGGGTTCCATGGGCAGGGCGGGAGGGCCCCATCCTCAGGCAGCGTCACTCACTGGGCGCGTCGCAGTCCACACAGAAGCTGTTCCCACGTGCAGTGCGGACCGTCTGCAGGGCCAGTGCATCGCTCTGGCTGCCCAGCCGAGCCTGGAACAGGAAAGAAACCCCCCCCCGACTCATTAGAGGCTGGCTGGCCCCCTGGGCCTGTCTCCTCTCATCACTGTCCTCAAGACCAGCTCACCGAGCAGCTGCCAGGGCCACGCTCTGATGGGCACCAGATGGGCAGACAGCACTGTGGTCTGGGAAGCTGTCTCCAGCCAAGGCAGGGCACGGGGGGCAGGAGAGTACCCGGGTGAGTGATGCCAGCTCTGGCAGGGTTGGGGAAGAGGGGCAGACACCAGCCTGGATGGTGTGGAGGATACACAGGAAGTGGCCTAGGCAGGACCACCGTGGGGCACGCGCTTACCGGGGTGGGGATGCAATGGGGCTAGCATTGACCCAGGTGGGGCAGCAGCCAACCCAGGCAGGGTGAGGTTGGGGTGCACGGGGGCAGGCACCAGTGTGTGAGGGGGCCTGGTCTGTGTAGGGCAAGTGGAGCAGGAGCTGATGGGGCGGGGGGGGGGGGGGGCTAGGAGAGGAGGGACCGTGGTGGGGCAGGTGTCTGCCCAAGCAGAGCAGGGTGGGGCACAGTGGGACAACTGCCAGCCTGGGCAGGGAGGGGGTCCCTCACCTTGTTCTTGCTGCTCTCGCAGCCCTGGAGGCTGGCCAAGATCTGGCTCTCGATGGCCTGGACCCACAGCTCCCGCTCCTCTGACGTCGAGGCCTCAAAAAGCCAGGTCTGGCCTGTCAGCGACACGATGATGAACTCGAACGACTCATCTTGTTCTGGAACAGAAGGGAGGGGTCACTGCGCCGGCACGGGGGGGTGATGGGGTGTCACGGAGTCCCTGGGCGATGCTCTGGAACTGCTCCCCAGGAAGCCAGGTAGGACTCTGGGGAAGTCTCCTCTCGGGGAGCAGCCTGTCTGCAGGACACACAGCTCCCCCGGCTCCACCTTCCTGGGTCTGACCTCGGAGCATTCAGCCTCCTCTGCCCCTCCATGTGCTTCCCACAGCGAGTCCGCTCAGGCGGGGTCCTGGGGAAGCCAGAGGGTCCTGCACCCCAACTCCGCAGTCAGACGGGACTCTCAGCCAGCCAGTAAAACAGAGGTTTATTAGACGACAGAGACATGGTCTAAAACAGAGCTTGCAGGTGCAGAGAATGGGACCCCTCAGCTGGGTCCATTTTGGGGGGCAGGGAGCCAGACAACCACGTCTGCCCTTCACTCCATGTCTCCAGCTAGCCCCAAACTGAAACTTCCTCCAGCCCCCCCTCCTCCTCTGGGCTTTGTCCCTTTCCCAGGCCAGGAAGTCACCTGAATCCTTTGTTCTCCAACCCTTTAGCTCTCACCTTGCAGGGGGGAAGGGCCCAGGCCATCAGTGGCCAGGAAACAGGGTGTCGGCCATTCTCTGTGTCCAGACCCCTGCACACACCTGCCCTCTAGGGCTCTGCAATGATCATACACCCTTATCCCACCACCTAGATACTTAAGAACTGCCTAGGGGAAACTGAGGCACCCCCACAATATTCAGAGGAAACATTAAGAACAGTCCCACTTCATCACATGGGGTCACTGCGCCGGCACGGGGGGGTGATGGGGTCACTGCGCCGGCACGGCAGATGGGGGCTGTCATGTCCACAGGTGGCCGAGGCTGTCCCTGTGTATGGCCCAGCCCCTCACCAAGGCCACAGCCCAAGCTCACTTTGAGCCAGCCTAGAGAGCGAGCCCTCGGGCAGGTGCTGCCTCCCCCAGCCTAGCCAGAACACAGCCCCCACCACGCCAAGCCATTCCCCTTCGTCCACCCCCTCCAGTGCAGCTGGGTCACGCCCACGCCCATCACTGCGTCACTAATATTTGTCAAAGCTCTTCCCAGCCCCGTCTCTGCAGCTGGACCAGGCCGTGGAAGGCCCAGCGGGCGGGGCCATGGCTGCAGGGGCTCAGAGACCCAGGACGGCGCCTGTGGGGACCCCCCGAGCCCAGCCCATGCTCTGAGCTGGGCGCCGTAGCCTCACCCCCGCACGAATGCCCAGGAGCCCATGCTCAGATGCCAGTGCCTTGGGGGAGGGGGACTGCGGGTGGGGCCAGCGGGGGCCACCCTGGCCCTGGGAGGGCTTACAGCTGGGCCGGGCCTGTGGGAGACGTGGCTAGGGGTGGGTGGGAGGTAATGCCCATGTTCTCTGAGGAGATCGGCATCCAGATCTGCCCATCCCTGCGACTCAGCCGGGGGCCCCAGTGCTGACCCAAGCGGGCTGCCGGGGGGGCGGGGGAAAGAGAGAGCAGTAAGGGGCTCCCCAGAGCGTGCCACGGGCAAGGGGGGCTACTCTGCCAGAAGCTGGGAATGGGCGACAGGGGATGGATCACTGGATGATTCCCTGTTCTGTTCATTCCCTCTGGGGCACCTGGCCCTGGCCGCTGTCGGAAGACGGGACACTGGGCTAGATGGGCCTTTGGTCTGACCCCGTCTGGCCGTTCTTATGTACTCAGGGACTCCTTGGTGGGTGGGTGGAGGGGTGGATGCGGGAGAAAGGGGGCTCTGCTCAAGGTCTCCTTGGTGGGTGTGTGGAGGGGTGGGGAAGGGGGGCCCTGCTGAGGGACTCCTGGGTGCTGGGGTGGGGGTTTCTTCTCAGGGCCCCCAGGCACAGGGGTTCCTGGGGGTGGGGATGCTCGCACCCTGACTCACATGGGGCCCACGTCCCATCTCTGCACCCAGACGCCAGCGTTTACCGTTTATTGCCCAGCCTGAGCAGTCAGTGCAGCCAAGGACTGAACTACGCAGGGCCGGAATGGAATGACTAATAAACGGTATGTCACAGCACACGCTTCAGCTCATAGCAAAATGATTTGTAATTACCTAATTAGCGTTATGCAAATAACACTCTCATCTCCATAATGTACCTTCCCAGTTCTCTATTAAAAGCAGGGAGCCAACTGCACAGCTCCAGAGCCAGCAGGGAGGTTGAGGGGCTGGGCCTGGAGTGCGCCAGGTTCTGCTAGCCCCGGGTCTGGAAGGGATGGGGGCCCGTGGCCTTCACTCTGCTCTCTGCCCTCGGCCCCTGGCTCTGTGAGCGGCAGGCCAGAGCAGGCTCTCCCAAAGGGGCAAACGGGACGGACACCCCGAGACACTTCAGCTGTGCAGGATACTCCCTAGCGAAAGAGGGGGGCCGACTGCCACTCCCACTCAACTTCTGCATTGCTGGGTGACTGGTACTCGGTCCTGGGGGAGGCTCACAACCCCTCCTCGCAGCCCCGGGAGAGGAGGGGTCCAGCCAGGGCAGCAGCAGCAATGGCAGGTCCCCTCCACAGCAGTTCTACACACATCCAAGGCAGAGACCCGCAAAGCAGCAGCCAGCTTCAGCCTGCCAACGTCTGCCAAGTAGCCCTCAGCCACGGCTCGGGGGAGCACAGCTCTCGCCATCCACGGGGCTCCCACTTAGCTCAGAAACTGCCTATGGGACCAATCAGCACCAGTTCAGCATTGCGGAGCCACCGCAGTGAGAGGGAGGGTAAACAGCACCCAGGGCTCTGCGCCTCTCCAGGGGCAGGACAACAGGACTGGGCTGGTCTCGGCAAGGGCGGGAAGGCTGCTTCTGGGTACTGACGGGCCACCATCCCAGCTGCTCCTGCCCTGGGGCCCACTGGGTGGAGGAGCTTGTCCATCTGGTAAGCTGCACCATTGCAAAAGCGGCAGTGGAGATGAGGCCTGACCAGCGTGCCAGCCTGGGGCTGGCTCCATACAGATTTCTTAAGTCAGTCAGGATGTGACTTTCTACTGGTAGAGTTAGACCCGGCCAAGGCCCAGTGTGGCTCCAGTGAAACTGGGATAGAGGGGCCTCAGACCTGGACAGCTTACCCCCGTCCCGCACATGGCCGAGCCCTTCGTGCTGGGGTAGCTACACCCACACGGGGGTGTCACAGCCGGACAGCTTACCCCTGTCCCTCACATGGCTGAGTCTCCCTGCTCTGAGCCTTTCAAACTGGGGTACCTACATCCACACAGGGGTGAAACACCCGGACAGCTTACCCCTGTCCCTCACATGGCCCAGCTCCCCCTGCTCCGAGCCCTTCATGCTGGGGTAGTTACACCCACACAGGGGTGTCACAGCCGGACAGCTTACCCCTGTCCCTCACATGGCCCAGCTCCCCCTGCTCCGAGCCCTTCGCATTGGGGTAGTTACACCCACACAGGGGTGTCACAGCCGGACAGCTTACCCCGTCCCTCACATGGCTGAGTCTCCCTGCTCCGAGCCCTTCCCACTGGGGTAGCTACACCCGCACAGGGGTGTCACAGCCGGACATCTTACCCCTGTTCCTCACATGGCCCAGCTCCCCCTAATCCGAGCCCTTCGTGCTGGGGTAGTTACACCCACACAGGGGTGTCACACCCGGACAGCTTACCCCTGTCCCTCACACGGCCCAGCTCCCCCTAATCCGAGCCCTTTGTGCTGGGGTAACTGCACCCACACAGGGATGTCACAGCCGGACAGCTTACGCCTGTCCCTCACATGGCTGAGTCTCCCTGCTCTGAGCCTTTCAAACTGGGGTACCTACATCCACACAGGGGTGAAACACCCGGACAGCTTACCCCTGTCCCTCACACGGCCCAGCTCCCCTTGCTCCAAGCCCTTCGTGCTGGGGTAGCTACACCCACACAGGGGTGTCACACCCGGACAGCTTACCCCTGTCCCTCACACAGCCCAGCTCCCCCTGTTCCAAGCCCTTCGTGCTGGGGTAGCTACACCCACACAGGGGTGTCACACCCGGACAGCTTACCCCATCCCTCACACGGCCCAGCTCCCCCTAATCCGAGCCCTTCGTGCTGGGGTAGCTACACCCACACAGGGGTGTCACACCCGGACAGCTTACCCCTGTCCCTCACACGGCCCAGCTCCCCCTGCTCCAAGCCCTTCGTGCTGGGGTAGCTACACCCACACAGGGGTGTCACACCCGGACAGCTTACCCCTGTCCCTCACACAGCCCAGCTCCCCCTGTTCCAAGCCCTTCGTGCTGGGGTAGCTACACCCACACAGGGGTGTCACACCCGGACAGCTTACCCCATCCCTCACACGGCCCAGCTCCCCCTGCTCCAAGCCCTTTGTGCTGGGGTAGTTACACCCACACAGGGCTGTCACACCCGGACATCTTACCACTGTCCCTCACATGGCCCAGCTCCCCCTAATCCGAGCCCTTCGTGCTGGGGTAGCTACACCCACACAGGGGTGTCACACCCGGACATCTTACCCCTGTCCCTCACACGGCCCAGCTCCCCCTGCTCCGAGCCCTTCGCACTGGGGTAGCTACACCCACACAGGGGTGTCACACCCGGACAGCTTACCCCTGTCCCTCACACAGCCCAGCTCCCCCTGCTCCAAGCCCTTCGTGCTGGGGTAGCTACACCCACACAGGGGTGTCACACCCGGACAGCTTACCCCATCCCTCACACGGCCCAGCTCCCCCTGCTCCAAGCCCTTCGCGCTGGGGTAGCTACACCCACACAGGGGTGTCACACCCGGACAGCTTACCCCTGTCCCTCACATGGCCCAGCTCCTCCTGCTCCAAGCCCTTTGTGCTGGGGTAGTTACACCCACACAGGGCTGTCACACCCAGACATCTTACCCCTGTCCCTCACACGGCCCAGCTCCCCCTGCTCCAAGCCCTTCGTGCTGGGGTAGCTACACCCACACAGGGGTGTCACACCCGGACAGCTTACCCCTGTCCCTCACATGGCCCAGCTCCCCCTGCTCCAAGCCCTTCGTGCTGGGGTAGCTACACCCACACAGGGGTGTCA